CCCGCCTCCGGGGTCCCCTCGCCTGGGGCGGCGGCTGGAGAAGGGCGCACCCCGCCCGCGGAGACCCACGCGCTCACCTGCAGGGACCAAGGTCCGGCTCCTCGTCCGGCTCCAGGCTCCGGCCGTGGTCCCGCGGGCAGTGTAAAAGCGGCCGCCGCTCCTGTGCCCTCCGGGTGGGACCACGTGGGGAGGCGGCGGTGATCCCAGAGGGTAACGCGGCCCGCGCTCCGGATTGGCCAGCGCCGCCCGCCCCCTCCCCGCCCAGCCGACCCTCCCCGGCGGGACCGCGGGCCGTGCAGGTTCTCGGGGGTCGCACCGTCCTGGAGGTCGCACGGTCCCAGAGTTGCCTGTCCCAGGGGTCGCCCAGTCCGGAGGGTCGCTCCATCCCCGGGTCGCACGTCCCCCGATTGTCCGGCCCCGGGCTGCAGCATCCCAGCCTTGCAGAGGCGAGCGCGCCACCCACCCCAAACTGGCCGCCCCCTGCGCGGACGCACTGGGTTCCGCGCCCTGCAGGCTGCTGGCGATCCCGCCGCGGGGTTTCTCCCCGGACCTCACAGCATGGACAGCCCACTCGGAACGGCGGTATGCATTTGAACCCATCGCTGCCCGCGTTGTCGGTGGACGCCGTGGACCCTGGGCGGGCAGCGTGGAGCGCGGAGGGGAGACCTGCCCTGGGGGACAGTGGCAGGGAGGGGATGGTCCTGGGATTTGCATGGGTGATGGGCCAGTTCCAGCCCTGGGAGCAGGAGGACGACGCGGAGGTGGAGCTCTAGGAAGGGGTGGATGTTACCACCGTGCAAAACCACACCACTGCCCAGGAGGGCAGCTGAAGCTTCACTGGCCCAGGGCGGTTTGCCCGCTCTGAGGGTGACATTTGGGCAGACACCTTTAGGAGCCATGGAGGAGGCCTCTCGGATATTTGGGGCGAAGTCGGGATCCCAAATTGAGGAGCAGCAAGTACAGAGGCCCCAGGCATGCTGGGGTTTAGAGAGAGCAAAGAGAGGGAGAGAGGGCGTCACTCCTGACCCCTGAGGCTGAGCGCCCGGAACCCAGCCTTGGCTGTGTTCTGAGGCTCTTGGGAACCAGGTTCCAAGCCGCCCAGCCTCGCGGCTCAGGGCACTTCTCTACCGTCCTGGTTTGGATTTCTCCTTCCCCTTCCTCCCCCTGCCCCAGGCCTCATATGTTTGAGGCTGGTTTTCCTTCCATGCTGATCTTCCAGCATGTGATACTATTTAGCCGTTCATTTGGACAGCCTCCCCGGGTTAGAATTTAAGTGCCAGCACGGCAGATTTTTTAAAATCTATTTTGTTTACTGCTAAAACCCAAGCACCTCCAAGAGCTGCTGGCACTGGAGCGTTCTTGGTGGAATGAATAATTCATGTATCAGGGCCCAGATCAAATACAGCAGCTCAGGTAGAGCCCTCCCACTCCATTCAGTCACATTCAGCAAACCTGGCACCTTGCCTTAGGGGAAGTAGCTCCTGCGTGGATTTAATTCCCTTCTCCTCCTCTTCCTTCTGCGCTCTAGAAGGAATGAAGGTGGTTCATGCCATCCACACACTTGCACAATAAGGACAACTGAGTGGCAAAGAGCTGGAGGGCTGAGTCAGGAGGTCACAGACCAGCAGGAGCCAGAAACTAAGACGGGCCTGATGTGGTGCCTGGGAGCTGTGTATCTGCCCTGGGTGATTTTTGCTTTTTGTGTTTATTTATAAGCGGGTAGCAGACAGGTGACGACTTCCATATTCACCTGCCCTGGTCGTCTGGAAGCAGCCTCTTCGTCACACCTTTCACCCAGGGAGTGAGCCCACTCTTGGTCCATGATCTCCGTGGGGCCCTCACTCAGTCGTTGCATCTGGTCCTGTCCTCTGTGGAGACGGGAGGGAGTGGATTCAGTCCTCCACGTAGCCCCAGATGACAGCCCGCCCGCTGTTTGGAGCTGGTTATGATCTCATCTTTGAGTCACATCTCAGCGTTGCCTCCTTCCCTTGTAGATCTCTTTAATCTCTGCATTGTCACAAAATGACCTGCATGTGAGAATGACGAGGTTGCTTTGTGAAAAGGGTGGTGAAATGCCAGGTATTGCTGATGCCCAGTACGTAAGTGCGTCAGTGTATGCAGAGTTATCACACATAGCAGCAGCGACGTGATGGAGAGAGCGAATTGCGATTTAACTCGGGAGCCTCTTCAGTGCCACAACGACTTGGCAGCAGTGGCCGTGCCTGGTCTAACTTACAGGACACATGATGCGTCAATCCTCATGTGTCCAGAAGGTGCTAGAATAACAGCTGCTGGTGCTGCTGTGCTGCCACCCACCTGGAGATGCAGTTCCCTGGCGTGAGGGGATGTCTTATGTGACATTTGCATAATAAAACAGCAAATGGCTCTTGACTGTTCGGATTGGGAGTTTAATGCCTCTTTCTCCTTAGAAAAAGACAAAAACTTTTATGTCTGGGAAAGCAAAAGAGGAGGAGGACAAGGATATCACTTCAAATTTTAATGGAGAAGACAAGGAAGACAATTCGTAAAAATCATGTTTTAATATTTACAGAGAAAAATGTCTGGCGGGAAATACATTAAAATACATCAAAAGGAGTAAGATGTCCAGGTTTGTTTTTTATTTTATTTTATTTTATTTTTTGCTTGTTGATTTTAAAAACGAATAGTTATTTGTATAATAAGAATTAACAAAAAGAATGAAAACAGCTTTGCTGAAGAGAAAATGCTTTAACTCTAGGAAACAAGGCGGGTTTCCCTGTGTTCGATTTCTGGCTGCAAACGGAGCAGAGCTTTAGGACCAGGAGCCAAAAGTCTGGCTCTTCACAACTGCTGCGGCCCGGAGAGGTGCAGCCTCTCACTGTCAATCATCTGGTCTCTAGCAGCTTCTTGAGTAACTCGCCCCAAATCACCTGTGTCAGTTTCTCCACCGCGAGAGCTTCTGCAGTAAAATTTGGCCCCAGGTGTGTTGTATTTTGTGGCTTTAAAAGGCTCCCCATTTCCCTTCTCTGAGCATCAGCTTTGTCTTCGGACCACACCCACCTGAAATCCATGTTCCTGACTCTGGCCTTGGCTGCCACACATCACCGTGATTTTTCTCTTCACTGGAACAGTTTTGAAGATATTTTTTTTTTCTTTGTTTTTGGTATCTTACTTTTTAAAGGGCAGCTACAGGAACTCTCACTCATTGCTGGTGGGAATGCAAAATGGCACAACCACTTTGGAAGACAGTTTGGCAACATCTCAGGAGACTAAACATGCTCTGACCGTAGGATCCAGCAATCACACTGCTTGGTATTTGCCCAAAGGAAATGAACACTTAGATCCAGAAAAACTTTCATGTGCCTGTTTATAGCAGCTTTATGCATTATTGCCAAGCTTGCAAGCAACCATGATGCCCTTCAGGAAGTGAATGAATCAATCGTAGGACCCCCAAACAAGGGGGTGCTGTGCAGCAGCGGAAGGGGACACGAAAGGGGGCGCGGAAGGGGCTGAGCCACGGAGCACGGGCAGGTGTGGAGGAGCCTTCCAGGCAGGGCCCACTCGGTGAGGGAAGCCGGCCTGAAAATGCTTCCAACAGCGTGATTCCAAGGACGTGACATTCTAGAAAAAGCAGAAACATGGAAAAGGGGAAAAGATCCATGGTTGCCAGGGCCTTGGGGAGAGGAAAGGATAAACAGGTGGAGAAGAGAGGATTTTTAGGGCAGTGGAACTTTGAGTATGACATGATCATGGTAGAGACGTGCCACTGCATGTTTGTTGGAACCCAGGAAGGCGCACATGGAGACTAAGCCCCGGTGTGCACCGAGGACTTCAGTCAGCAACCGAGTCCCAACGTCAGCTCACCAGTGAGGACAGCTGTGCTAGGGCCACACAGGATGTCAAGATAAGGGAAATTGGGGTGCGGAGGGGGGTACAGGGAACTCTGTCCTTTCTGCACAATTTTTTCTGTGAACCTAAAACTGCTAAAAAAAAAAAAAAAAAAAGCCTATTAGAAAAGTGGGAGTAGGATGTACTTTTAGCTACCAAGGGTGTGTGTCCCTGTAAATAAGTGTTAGGGAGGGAGGAATTGGCTGGGTGCGGAGGCTCATGCCTGTAATCTCAGCACTTAGGAGGCCGAGGTAGGTGGATTGCTTGAGCCCAGGAGTTTGAGACCAGCCTGGGAAACATGGTGAGACCCCGTCTCTAAAAAAAAAAAACACACACACACACACACAAATTAGCAGGGCGTGGTGGCTCACGCCTGTAGTCCCAGCTACTCAGGAGGCTGAGGTGTCACTACACTCCAGGCTGGACAACAGAGCTGCCAGGAGAGGTGTCAGAGCCCCAGCATCAGAAAAATGGTCAGCTCACGGGTGGTAGGTAGTAAGAAGAATTTACAGACAACGGCGTAGGTTTGAAAAAGGAAAGTTTTAGGAGAAAGAATGCTGCAGAGGAGAGCAGTGAGCGTCTCAGTGAGGGGACGGAGTGTGCAACGGTAGATGTTTCTTAGGGGCATTTGCGGACCTTAAAGCAGGAGCTGAGGGTAATTTGGGCCGCACTAGCCATGGAGGTCATGATAAATGACTACATCTGTGGATGTTTTTGTGCCCTGAGTCAGCAAGGGTTGCCCAGTGCGTTTCAACGTGCATGCATTCCAGAGATGCATAGAAATCCTAGTTACCCATGAATTCTTGGAAAGAGGCCTGGAACCAGATGCCGACTTTAGATAATAGGGAAGCCCAACGGCTTCTGAATTTCTCAGATAAGGAGATAAGGAGTGCTGTCTCTGGATGGCCTGCTTGATGCTCACCAGGTGACCTTTTGCTCTCCTCAAGAGCAAGACCTTGTCTCAAAAAAAAAAAGGGGGGGGTGGGGTGAGTAGAGAGGGGAGCATTTTGAAGACTTGAAGATGAGTTCATAGACAGTGATGGGGCTGTCTGAGGGTTTTGCCTGATGGTTGCCCCCTGGGCTGTGGGCAGGTTCTAGCCAGGCGGAAGGAGCCTGCTGGCAGGTGGCACCCTTGCTCCAGGGGTGGAAGGAGGTGTGAATGGCAGAGGCTGCCATTCCTCGGCCAGGGCTGATCTCTGCGGGAGGGAGGACATGTGAAGGAAGGAGGGGGAGGATTGGAGGACGGAGGAGGGACGAGGGTGGGACTGTGCCAGACCCTCCACGTATGGGCTGGGTCAGGTCTGGTGGCTCCTGGGAGAAAATTTCCCCCTTTCATTCTCAAAAGACGACATCAAAACAACTTAAAGTCTTTCCAAACACAGTTCCCGGCATTCACCACTGAAGGCCATGCTACAAGGAGAAACATATGAAGGAAACATGTTCCTCTCATGCATCCGTAACAAGCAGGCTGTAGGAGCTCGTCTGTTGTGAGATGGAGCAGGTCCTGAAGTCATTCCTGATGGCTGGAATTTTCACAAACCTTTCTCACTGCATAGCACTAAGAATCCAGTAATGTGAAAAATCATGAGTTATTTCCTCAATAATTTGCAAAGGTCAGAATTATTATTTCTTTGCCATTCCTTTGATAACAAAAGTTTTCTTCCTTGTCATTTGTGGGATGTTTTTGCTGGGTGACAGGCAAGTAACATGACACCACCCCATGAACTGTGTTTTAGCAGAATTTGAAAAACAAGGGGCCGGGCGCAGTGGCTCACGCCTGTAATCCCAGCACTTTGGGAGGCCAAGGCAGGTGGATCACTTGAGGTGAGGAGTTTGAGACCAGCCTGGCCAACATGGCGAAGCCCCATCCCTAATACAAATACAAAAATTAGCCGGGCATGGTGGAGGATGCCTGTAATTCCAGCTACTCGGGAGGCTGAGGCAGGGGAATCGCTTGAACCCGGGAGGCGGAGGTTGCATCACTGCACTCCAGCCTGGGTGATAGAGCAAGACTCAGTCTAAAACACAAAAAAACAAGGTAGCTAGGTGGACCATGAGAAGGGAATCTGCAGTCCCCTGAGGCCTGGCCGGGCTGGACCGATGGCGCCTGGGCCCAAATAGCTGCTGGCAGGATGCCCAAAGCGCCCACTCTGATCCGAGCATCCCCTCAGGGAACATTTGCAAATTGAGGCCAACAAGAACCCACTTACCAACAATTTTGAATTTTTGTGTTGTGAGTCAGGCATCCTCTAACCCCAACACAATAAGGCTTCTGTATGACAAAATCCAATTATTTGCCTAATAAAAATCTCTGAGAACATTTCATGCTGACCTTTCTTAAAAATAAATGTGGAAGCTGGTAGGGGTTTGAGAGAGCTCTCTTCCCAGCGTTGGGTCAGGTTGACACAGTCGGGATGTGGAGTGTCCTGGTGATATCCGCCTGCTTGTATTTATATTACCCACCTGCAGCTTGTCCCAAATGCTGTCGGCATAGGCCGGTTCCCTTCGTGACTGAGAGGCTTTGAATATTTGGAAAACATCCAGTCATGTATTTCTGTTCCCAGGAAATATGTAACAGTGTTTTCACCATTTCTTCATTGCACTAGGTCTGGAAGATTAAAAATTTTGTGTGAGTTTAACATTCAGTAACAGAATATGAGCAGTGTTTTCTTTCTAATTACTAATTTGTTAATCTCACCTCAAAATTTAACTGATTAGCACGTTTAAACAAATCAAAATTAACATTTAAGCAAATCAAACTTAAGATTAAGATTTTAAATCTTAAAGCAAGATTTTGCAAACTCAAATTTGATTAGTAAAGTAAAACATGTTTTTATTAACTACAGCAACCTTCTGAATCTTTGCAAATATTGTCTCGAAAGGTAGAGGCATGCCTGTAGAGCATTTCGTGAAGATAGTTTTCGTAGCGATCCAGCCTTGAAAAGGCTCTCGCATTTGTACCTGTGTTCCTGGGAAAGAGAGACTGGGAGGGAGGGAAAGAGGAATAGGGGAGCTCTGTGAGACATGGGCCAGGCTCAGCGATGGTCTGCTTTGTCTGGAGCCATGAGCTTCAGGAGACTGTGCCCTCCTCATGTGTCCAAGACCCCCAGAGAGGAGTGCTCAGGGTGGGAGTAGGTGCCTTGGCCAGCCTCCAGTAGACAGCTAGGGTGTGGCTTAAACTGGAGAGAGAGGGGGTTACACTTCTAATTCCAAAAAGTCAGTAAACAATGCCCCATTCTTGAGTTTTCCAGGGTACACCTGACCTCGTGTGGAAGGCTCGGCTTTTTGCATCACAGACACAAGTCGCAGCCAGTTGCCCAAGAAATCAGTTTCTTAAGGGCTGCGGTGACAAAGGGCCACAAACCCGGCAGCTTAAAACAATGGACCTCTACTGTCCCACGGCTCTGGAGGCTGCAGCCCTAAACCACGGTGTGGATAGGACTGTGATCCCCTAAGTCTCCGGGATTATCCTGCTTGCCTCTTCCTGGTTCCTGGCATTGCTGGCGATGCCTGGTCCTCTCTGACTTGCAGACACACTGGTCCAAGCTCTGCCTTCCCATCATGGGCGGTCCTCTCTGTGAGTCTCTGTCTTGTTTTCTCTCTAATGAGGACACCATCATATTGAATTAAGGAGCCACTCTATTCCAGGTGGCCTCGCCTTAACTAATTACATCTCTGAAATGACCTGATTTCCAAACAAGGTCACATCCTGAAGTCCTGGGGGTTAGGACATCAGCTCTTTTGGGAGAGGACACAGTTCAGCCTGTATGATACATCCCTAGGACATGATTCTTTATTTCAAGATTGGGGCTGCTGTGACCAGGACCAGGGTCAAAGGGAGGAAGGGCAGAGCAGAGGGAGAAAGGAAAGGCCAATTTCCAAGCTCATGTGATGCGTGCTGCCTGTTTCTAGGGTAAATGCAGGAGTTGGCAGCACTGATCCATGGGTGGAGGGACCTGGTTTCTACCAGACCAGATCGACTTTCTGGCCATGTTTTCTAGGAACACACCTGCCTTCTGACCCACCTGAGCCAAGAGATTCACTGGAAGAAGACTCCGCTGCCAGCCGATGGCACTCAGGCCTAACACGCAGCCACGCTGGCAGCTAGCCCTGCATCGGTGACGAGGGAAGCCTCACTTTACCTTTTATATGGGCCCCACCAGCTGCATAGGGTGACAGTTCCAGCTTAGCAGCAAAGCGACATTATCAATGCCATCAAATACTGGTAAGTGCTCTTGTTCCAACGGAAAGAGCTCTAAGTGAAATTTAAGCACCGCATTAGGGAGATAAGGCCAAGCTTTCCACATGTTCAGGGTGGGGTGTCTGGGAAGGATGGAGTCCCCACTGAATTGTCTTCTTATCAAATAAAGAATAGCAGCAAGTGGGAACCAGTGTCTGAGGTTTCGCTGAGCTCAAAATCAAGCCAGATGGAATTCTTCTCTACGCTGAGATCTAGAGTGGGGAGATTTCAGTAAGGCAGCCTTGGGAAGTCAGCAGGTGCCCAGGTAACAGATACGCAGTCACTCAACCGCAAAGCTTTAAGAACACTGTCCACATAGATGGGCACCTCCGTAGTATATGCACTGTGCCTTTCTGGCTACCTCTGGTATAATGACTATATTTTATTTTTTTTAATTGATGGAGCTAAGTTTTTAAGATGTGCTATGTTGCACAGTGATGCCTTCAGAATGAATAAGGTACCTGTCACTGAATGCTCCCACCCTAAGGGCTCCAGATGCTGTTACATGAATAAAAATTCCTATTATCTTTCATTTTAACTTTCTTCCCCCTTCAGTATCAGCCCATCAGTTATCACTTCTTGACATAATCAATATTTCTTCTCTTGCCCCCTTAATTTCCTTTTTCTAGTCTGCCATGACAAACCAGCTCAAGAAAGGCTGTAAGAATGGAACTTTAGGTAATGGTCAATTGGCTATGTGTAAATGGTCAGTCATTCCTAGCTGAGTAAAATGAATGACCTTTGTACATGAACTTTGGTGCCTTTAGAAAAATTATTCAGAGATATATTTTCAGCCCACTTCTTAATTCTTTGTTGTGTTATGGACAGCTGAGCTTCTCCAAGAAGGGACTTTCAGACAGGATACATGTCATCTACAGTGTCTCAGAAAAGACTCAAATCCAACCTGTTATGAAATGCAGGATGGAAGCAAGTGAGCAATAAAATGAATTCAAAGAGTGTTGTCTCAGTAAAAGCCAGACATTTTTATAACAGATTATTATATCCTAGTGACTTAGAGTTCCTAATTACTGTGGTTAAAAATTAAAATTTTATATTGATTTCTATTTAATAACTCTGTAAACTTTATACAGCATGACTAAGTGTCATACTCAGATGTCATCATACTTAGGAAGGCGTGTTTGGTACCAGCAGAAAGGGAAAAGAGAATGCAATTTTGGGTGAGATTAAGCATTTTCCCACCCAAATCCTATGTCAAATTGAAGATTCATCCAATTCAATCAACAGTTATTTACTGAGTACTCACTGTTTGCCACCGTGTCCCCAGCAAAGGGGGCAATGTCTCAACCCCAGACCATACACATTTGAATGACAGAAGACTGGCATAGATGAACTAATGAATGTATTGTTGAAAAATTGTGATGTTGGGAGGGAAATTGGTAGAAAGTTATGACGGCAAGTAACTGTGGAACTTAGATTTGTTGTAGAAAATGGGCATTTGACTCTGGCTGTGAATGAGTTCACCAGCCTAATCAATATGAAATTGTGTAGACTACTCTCGTGCAAGACCACAGACCCCAGAGTCTAATCAATGAGAAATTGTGTAGACCACTCTCTAGAGGACCACAGACCCCGGATCTAATCAATATAAAATCATGTAGACCGCTCTCTAGAGGACCTTAGACCCCAGATCTAATCAGTATGAGATCGTGTAGACCCCTCTTATAGAGGACCACAGGCCCTGGATCTAATCAATATAAAATCATGTAGACCCCTCTCTAGAGGACCACAGACCATAGATCTAATCAATATGAGATCGTGTAGACCCCTCTCTAGAGGACTATAGACCCCGGAGTCTAATCAATGTGAAATTGTGTAGACCACTCTTATAGAGGACTACAGGCCCCGGATCTAATCAATATAAAATCATGTAGACCCCTCTCATAGAGGACCACAGACTCCAGATCTAATCAATATAAAATCATGTAGACCACTCTCATAGAGGACCACAGACCCCAGATCTAATTGGTATGAGATCGTGTAGACCCCTCTCTAGAGGACCACAGACCCCAGATCTAATCAATATGAAACCATGTAGACCACTCTCATAGAGGACCATAGGCCCTGGATCTAATCAATATGAAATCGTATAGACTACTCTCATAGAGCACCACAGACCCTAGATCTAATCAATATGAAACTATAGACCGCTCTCTAGAGGACCACAGACCCTGGATCTAATCAATATGAAACTGTAGACCGCTCTCTAGAGGACCACAGACCCCGGATCTAATCAATATGAAATCGTGTAGACTGCTTTCTAGAGGACCACAGACTCCAGATCTAATCAATATAAAATCATGTAGACCCCTCTCTAGAGGACCACAGACCCCAGATCTAATCAGTATGAAATTGTGTAGACCACTCTTATAGAGGACCACAGACCCTGGATCTAATCAATATGAAACTGTAGACCGCTCTCTAGAGGACCACAGACCCTGGATCTAATCAATATTAAACTGTAGACTGCTCTCTAGAGGACCACAGACCCTGGATCTAATCAATATTAAACCATGTAGACCACTCTCATAGAGGACCACAGACCCCAGATCTAAT